CACAGAAGCAGATGGATTTGCACTGAAACTTGCTGATGCTATGAAACAGCTGGGAAATTCAGACTGTGTATCAAAAGCTTTTATTAAGTTTATCAAAAGCCGTGAACCATCAGATTATAGCAAAATCATCAAATGTTGTGAACTGAATTGCAGTATTCTAAATCCAGTGCAACTGACAGAGGTTCTTCTAAAATTGCTACTGACTAAAAAAGATGAATGGGAGAATGAAAGTTCAGGGTATGTCGATCAAGCTTTTATAAAATTTATTGATAGCTGTGAACCACTCGATCATAGCAGGATCAAAACGTACTGTGAACTGAAAAGTGGTCGTGTAAGGAGAGAAGTAGGATATTTATACTTTGAGAATCGTACCAAAACATTGGAATGGGAGATGAAAAATTCAGACCAAAAACTTTGTCCATTTGCATTTCGTTATGTTCCAGAAATCATGACATTCATGATAAATGCAAAAACTGTAACTAGCCAAAATATGCATCTTTTATCAAGATGTCTGATTCACCATCCCCCCTTTAATAAGCTGATTAAACTGGCTATCGAAAAGGACTGTTCAGTTGCTTATACCCAATTGTTAACTCAAATAAAGACAGTGGTTGTGATCAAGGAAGCGACAGAAAAGGAAAACTACAAAGACATCATCCCTAACGTTCAACTTCTACAGATTAACGGAAAATTAACTGACTGTCTGGGGTATCTTGATGCACTTCTGCCGTTCATGGTTAGAGCAACTGATTTATTTAACCTCTGGAAAAGTTACCTTGTGAAATGTAGCTCACCAGAGAAAAGTGTTTTAGAAACGCTTGGAAGGAGGATGAGTGAGCTCATGATTCAGGGCAATGTCCCTGAAAAGTGTGAGTGATGTTTGTTATTGTGATTTTTTGTCTGTGTGGACACAGAAAATATTTTTATAATGCAAATGAATTTAATTTTAAAATTGGTAACCACAATATAATAAAACATTTTAATGGGTTTATATTTTAGCATTTCATTGAAATTAATTCATTGTTATTAAATTCTGATGTGTGTCTCCCTTCTTGTCCAAATACAACATAACATTGCGTTATAATTATCTGATGAAATATTAATGGTGCTCTCCGGTTTGAACAATGTCTATGTATGATATGCTTGCTAATGATGATAAATAATGAAAATTTCAGGTAGCCAGCTGCAATGGTTCATAAGAGATCATCGTTCTCTGAGGACGATGACCCTGCAGAAGATGGTAATGAGGCAACTAAACCTGATAATAAGCGTTCTAAAATCATATTACCAAAAGCACCGCGTGATTTTGATGAAAATGTTAGATCAGTAGAAGATCTTAAAGTTGATTTTATTGCTGCTATTGATGCCCATCTAAAAGGATCCGCAGTTTTTGCAGTATATGGTGCAGTGTTGGCACATATTTTTCTTCCTCGCTTACCACTAGCAAAAGTTCCCAATATTGGTGTAATACCCACCCCTGTGACTGGGAGAGTTTTCAAAGATTTGCTAAGTAGTAATGCGGATTCCTCACCTGCTGATGAATTAAAGAATTTTGTTTCCCTTGACAGCAGCAACGTAGAATTGTTGAACAAAAGCTTTGCTGAGGACATGGAGACTCTTTTAAACCAAGATATTATTCGCAAGCTTGGAATGAGTTCTAATATCAAAGTTGATGCCAAACTTCACAAGCTTTTTGTAGGCGGAATTGGTTGCAAACCCTGTCTATTACCTGAAACTATGCCTAAAGATGCTTTTGGAGTCGTTGTAGTAATGTTACCTTCAATTTATGAGACAAGTTTCAATGGAAACATCAAAGTTACGTACAAAAATCAGAGTACTACATTTGCTGTGAATAAAGACAATGCTGCATCTAGTTTCTCATACATAGCCTTATTTTCTGAATGCTTGCTAGACTTTGGAGTGATAACTGATGGACATTTAACTTGTTTAGTATATCACATGTGTCAGAATGAGGTTGGAGTAACACCTGCACCATTTGATGAGGCTCAAAGCATTGCTACTATAAGCAATCTTCTAGAAAGTTTCATGTTTTCAGTTGATGTTCCTCTGTTATCCTGGGCTCTTCAAGGGCACAAGTATTATGATAAATATTCTTCTGGTTGGACTAAAAGGTGATTATAGTAAAAGTTCCGAATCTTTTATCAGCAATGAGGACTGGTTGCAGGATCCTGATAGCAAAGTACTTTCTCTGATAAGAAAAGTTTTAGCTCATGACAAGGAGAAACAAGGCAAAAGAAGATACCATCTTTATCTCTCTATTGCTGACCTTACTATTCATAGAACAGCAGAGGAACCTGAGGAATGTGACAGTTATTATGACTATGATCATGACTGCAGTAGACAACATCCTTCAAAATATGAAGAAATTCGAAGATCATTAATTTTCAAAGGGTTTTTACCTTTGACCGCATCAACTGTTAAAATAAATGAAAAATTGGATTTGAATTGCACTGAGCCTGTGAATCAGATGATAAATTTTAGCATGGATAAAGTCAACTCAACTTCGTGGTGTACCACTAAAAGTAGATCCTATGATTCAAACTTAAACTACAGCAGATTCACCTTGGTGTTTATGCGTACTGACTGTGCAGTAGAAATGAAGTTCAAATCAAGTCCTAAAGAAGGTCTCTTTCATTTAAGAGAGATAGCTCGACAAGAGGACTCATTAGTGGAAACCAGAAACGGACTACAAATTGTATTGCTAATAGGTGAGGAAATGGATAAAGCTTTTGATAATACAAATGCTCTAATAGAAATTGTACACATCTGTGGCATATTGAAGGAAAAACAAAAATTTCTTGAAGCACTTTCAAAGCTTGAAAAACATGATCTCACAGAAGCAGATGGATTTGCACTGAAACTTGCTGATGCTATGAAACAGCTGGGAAATTCAGACTGTGTATCAAAAGCTTTTATTAAGTTTATCAAAAGCCGTGAACCATCAGATTATAGCAAAATCATCAAATGTTATGAACTTAATTGCAGTATTCTAAAACCAGTACAACTGACAGAGGTTCTTATAAGTTCGCTTAATACAAAAATAGATGAATGGAAGAATGGAAGTTCAGAGTATGTCAATCAAGCTTTTATAAGATTTATCAATAGCTGTGAACCGCTAGATCTTGACAGGATCAAAACCTACTGTGAACTGAAAAATGTTTGTACAAGGACAGGAGAAGGATATTTATACTATCAGTATAAGTATCGTACCAAAACAGTGGAATGGAAGATGAAAAATCCAGACCACAAACTTTGTCCATTTGCATTACGTTATGTTCCAGAAATTATGATATTCATGATAAATACAAAAACTGTAACTTTCCTAAAAATGCATTTTTTCTTGAGAAATCTGATTCACCATCACCCCTTTAATAAGCTGATTAAACTGGCTATCGAAAAGGACTGTTCAGTTGCTTATACCCTATTGTTAACTCAACTAAAGACAGTACATGTGGTAAAGGAAGCGACAGAAAAGGAAAACTACAAAGACATCATCCCTAACGTTCAACTTCTACAGAGTAACGGAAAATTAACTGACTGTCTGGGCTATCTTGATGCACTTCTGCCGTTCATGGTTAGAGCAACTGATTTATTTAACCTCTGGAAAAGTTACCTTGTGAAATGTAGCTCACCAGAGAAAAGTGTTTTAGAAAAGCTTGGAAGGAGGATGAATGAGCTCATGATTAAGGGGAATGTCCCTGAAAAGTGTGAGTGATGTTTGTAATTGTGACTGTTTGTCTCTGGAGACGCAGAATGTGTTTTTAATATGGAAACGAATTTTATTTTTAAAATTGATAACCACATATAATAACATTTTGATAGGTTTATATTTTAGTATTTTATTAAAATATATTCATTCTTTCAAAGTAATATGGGAATTAAAAATTCGTATTTTCGGGGGCTACCCTGCACCGCCCTCTCAAGACTGTAATAGGCCTTAATTTCCTGTCTGTAGTATTGTGATAATAGAAGACTAAATGCTGTTCCTTAAATTATTTGCAAAGATATAAATCTTACAAAATAATAAAAGATAAATGCAAGCTGCTGTAATTTTACAGTCTGTTTTATTGGTTATTTTGTTTCGGTTAAAGTTGTTATCTTTTTATCTCAGCGATAGATACAATTTTATACAGATCGAAGCTTATATTATAAATTAATAGTCTAACCCTGCAGTTCCACGGCTCAGTTTTGCAACCAGATTTGCTCACATTTTTTCTCACATTTTTGCGACCGGAAATGAAATTCAAAAATATTTCTCCGCACGGAGAAATATTTTTGATATGACCCAAAACTCTGTGAAAGCAGTTTTAACCTGGGCGCTCCCGTGGGACATTTCATTATAATGCGCCAACGTGCGCGCAAATCTGCTTGCAAAATACCAACCGTGGGAACGTACATTGTAAACAAAACTGCCATCCCGGAGTTTTGCCTTTCAAAACTCTTTTCGCGGAGTTTTGTGTCAAATCTGTCGCAAAACTGAGCCGTGGAACTGGGCTGTAATAGTGTTGACCTAATTTGTTTAACTGGTCATTTATTTTACGTTTTTTACTTATTGATGACTTTTTATCGGTTAATTTTTCCAAATTTAGCCTTTTATCCTCGAGAGAATAATGTGATCTTTTTACAATTTTAGGCTATTTATTTCCAGTTTTATTAGTAATTACCCCTGCTCAATTCGATCTAGCAATACACTACTGTATTCTAACTATTCAGTTGTATGACTATTGTCTTCTTTAGGTAGCCAACTTTGTACTAAAATTTTAATTTATTAATGTTCTATTAATTTCAACTTTTCATATAACATCATGCCTATTTTATCAAACCTGTTATTTATTTTATATTTTGATTCGTCAAAAATGTCAAATTGAATGTCAAAATCTTAAAAAACTATTGTGCTAGTTTTAAATAAACTGTTAATTTGCAGAAATACTGAAACATATTAAGTTGACATATAGTTAAGCCCAAGAAGCCACTGACTAATCACATTATCACAGGTTATGACTTAGTGTCTGATGTTATTTTAGTTTGTGATAACTAAATCTTATTTCGATGGCTGAGTCAGAAGTGGAGGTAAGTTTTATTTTATCCCTATATTTTGTCAGTGTATCAGGTGCCACAACCAATGGTGGGAATGGTGACACAAGTTGCTCTGATATGCAGAGATACTGACTTTTTGTTCCAGTAACTCAATAATCAACACAATTGCAATCTAACCATTACTGTTAATTAACAAGTTTAAAACGTGCTCTCACCAACCCCCCCCCCCACAGAGCCTCACAGAGCTGTTCAGATGTTTCATATGTATGCAGCCTCTACAGAGTGCCCGACTCTGTCCCCACTGTTCCAAACTATGCTGTGCTCCATGTGTCGAGGTATGTCTTACAGTATTCCGTTTGTACATCATCTTTAACTGTCGAGCTTTACCCCGCTGCAAGCTGCATGTTTTGCGTAATAAAAACAATAATAATCTATTGTAATAGATGTGCTTATCACGTTTTCGTGATGAGCTTATACTATTGACCAACGTGTTTTCAGAGATGGTTGCTAGAACAGCGTCAAGAATGTCCTCATTGCAGGTTGATATTTCATCAATTTTTCGATTCTTCCCTGATTGAATACCCTGATTTCACCGCATCGGAAATAAGCTGGAATAACCTTATTTATTCCTCAGAGAGCCCCTGCAGCGCGGAGAACTGGTGAAATGTAGATGGGCTGAAGAAGTAACACAGGTAATACTCCTTTTTAATTGGCTCTTCCATCCAGCATCATTGGCTGGCTAATCGAGTAATTCAAATCATGTTTGGGTATTCGCCAATGAGGGCGCCAAAACAAATGTCTCTAAATTACTAGCTAACATTGACCAAATCTATATGCAAATATCCATGGTTATCGTTTTGTACGCCGCGCGCACATGCGTGCGCTGCACATTTCGTACTAGACTAGCGGCTTAATACCATCATTACCGACATGTCGATTTCATGCTCTAAGTCACTAAGTAAGTCAGCTAACTCTCATCACGATAGCTCGATCGCATACCTGACATGAAATTGAATGAATGCACCACAGAAAACGCACTATAAAAGTGGAGATAGAGCAATAACAAAAACGGGTCATTAATTAAGACAAGCCCCGCCCTGCATCCATATTATCCAATAATAGTAGTGTTCAGTTCGCGGCACAGCGTCCAGCAATATGATATTGCCAATATCGCCGACTAATTTCAGAATTTCAGCAACTTGAATCCATGCGATCTCTAAACCACGAGTCTAAAGCTATGGAGAGACAGCTGGAAAGAGATAAGTTAGTCACTTGCAGATATCACATTTCTCTTAACACTGCATCATATTATTTAAAGCATGAAAGAAGCAGCTGATACTAAATAGCATACATTTTATCGAGGTACAGAATGCAATGGAAAACTAAATAGCGTGTCCCCTTATCACCGTGTTTGCTCTTTAGATGGCGACATTTCGACAGAATTTTATTAACTTGCCGAATTTAAGCCTCGAAATTGCAGAGGTGGAGTAAGGGTTCGGGTAAGAACTTAAGCTATCAGTTAAGGATACATTGGGGTAAGAGCTAGGGCGGGTTTTTGCCCGGATTCTATTTCAAAGATAAAGTATGGATCATCCAATCGTATGGAAATCATCTTTAAATCCAAATCACGCATTCTTGAAGTATGAACTTGACATGTTATCTTACATCGAGAATATAACTTTCATGAGCCTTCATTAGAAGTTCGTCGACAAATTTTTATCGGTGTCTTGATCCTGTCTTTTTCTGATAAACCCTTTCCGCAGTTTCCTTATATCGTCGTCCTTCACGTCCATGAAAGAAAGGTGTCTTTTTGCGTGTTTTTATGAACATTCTTATCATTTGAGTGTGAATTTAGTGGATCTGAAATCATAATTTCAATGATATTTACTTGATTTTGAATTTCTCTGATAGCACAAGTTTGCATCTGAGTGTATAATCGTGTTTTGAGGGTTCATCAAATGCAACAGGTTTTCCCCATTCTAGGGATCGTTTATCAAATTTTGAATGTCGACCGAATATCTGATTACACAATTCAATTTATAAAACAACGATCAACCTAATAATGGGTTTCGACCTCTTTCCCTATTCAATAATAAATTATTAAAGCAAAAACTTCAATGGATGGTTACCGTAATGGGTGCCACATGCCTAGCATGACATATTTACCTACTTACTTGCACTTGTGTAGGTCTGTAGAAGCATTAGTATCGGGCGTTGCCTGCTACAGGCTATCCCGAAACTAGAAGCTTGCTTTAATAAATCAATAATAAAGTGTAATTTTAATAACTATTTAAATATTTTCACCGTTTCAGATGCGTCCACCACGAAGGGGAGAAGTTATCAGTGTTCTGTATTTCCTGTCAAATGTGCATCTGCCACCTCTGTGCACTCTTCGTAGGCCAGGTAACTCTCACCTTCTTAAAACTGAGCAGCTCTCTTGCTATACCTGCACCCTCATATTTAATTAATTAGCAAAGAAATAAACCAAAAGGTTCATGTGTATTATATGAGGCTCAGAAAGACATAACTCTTAGCTATATGACGTATTCTTATTACTGCTTTTCATTAACAAATGAGACGAAGCCTTACCATGACATTTAGTCAGGGTTTCAACTCACTAGACTAGGTTTAAATATTCTCATCATATTATAAAATTTCGTTCTTGTATGACTGAAATATCCATTGCTTTACTTAAACTAAACCTTAACTGGGACAAAGTAAAATGCTTCTTTAAAATCGAACTCATAACGTCCCAATATTCACCATATTTTCTGGCTCTCCTCAACTCTTCCTCTTCCATCCTCGTCCCCACAATTACCCACCCTGTCGTCCCCTTACACTCGAGCAGTACACCAAGTCAGCTCCAACTAATGAGGATCACTAATCCTCCCACCACGTGGCCGAACCAGCCTCTACCTTATTACCATGGTGACTGAACTTGTAACTATGGCTAAGGAGCGCCAAGAGTCTGAGACTGACAATCAATTAGCCCGACACTGAGTATTGTCTCTACTTAAACCTGATTTTTACCTGTCTACAGAACCTGCTTGTCATTGTCAATTATTGATACGTAATAAATTAGGATCTGCTGGTTTATTTGATCATGCTACGGACTTGTTTTGCACAGGATAGGGTACATGTCATGTTTTATATATAATCGCCGTTCTGCTAAACTTGATACCCGAATTGAGTACCATTGTCCTTATACAGCATAATGACGTGCCGTATTTCTCATAGTACTCAGCATTCCGGCACTTCATTTTGCACCAAAGCCAAATCTTTGACTTTTGCTGCAAATTTGTTAAGAGTTAAAAATGTGCATACCAATGTAAAACTGTTTGAAATCGACCGTACTTCAGTAGCTGTGTTTCCGTGGTTCGTCGTCATCCTTGACCGATTATAGTGATTGCCTTGCTCAATGTTCTTGGCATAAAGTACCCTCGCCATATGGTATTTTATAATTTCATTTTCTTGATGAAACTAAGAAATTTGATCCTTGACGGCTAATACTGTCACACTATTGTCTCCCCGTTCCCGGTTTCACTAATTCTGCTACGGGACTTTACTTCAATTATACCGCCCGTTTGTTTTCACCACGAATTAATAACACTCTCCCAATGCACGTATTGAAACTTAAGTTACGTAACTTTAATACAAACCAACTCTGTCCTTTGTCAAGCTAGTGAGGAGATTATACTGGATTTGGCATTACCGATATTACCCTGAAGAATGTACTCGATATTGAACCCTCCGCCCCATTATGCTCTACACAAACCTTCAGGTGCCCAACGAGTAGTTGTCCGTTTTTAGAACAGTTTAAAACAAATTAGATCTTTTAATGATGATTTCATGCACATCACTTTGTGAATTGTGATGCTGTGTTTTGGAATTGTGCACAATCTGGATTTGTTTTTCTGAAAAGGCCCTTTCGTAACATATTTATGCAAGTCACTGCACCGTGCGTGCTTTTCCATTGACATTGTCATTAAACTTGACATGTTCCATTCGTACTCCGAGTTTAAATATTACGATACGATTTACATATTCAACTTTCTGAATTTTTAGTTTTGCATAGCTGTGCTCTTCTACAATTGTTAGCAACAATATACATAGACTATTGAGATAATTTTGTATGTCATGCGGTCGTCAAATAATGTAGTTCAGATGTATTATGATCTAATCAATGCACGCTGCTTTTCTGTAGCAAGATGACGGAGGTTCTGGGAAGAGGGCGCCTATCCCCCGATGAGCAGCTCAAGATGCGAGCAGACCTCTTTGCTAGAACCTGTCTGAGTTTCCCCTCGTACTACTCGTTTAGAGAGTGGGTGGGGCACCCCGTCAAACCACCTGAAGTAACACCTCCCTCCCGTGCTACCCTCCAACGGTCTGTTAGAATCAAACACAGTCTCCCCGGACAACAAACTGTGCTCCTTCACTGTCAGAGCCTGGTTGTGGAGCACAAGACCAGCTCCTCCGGGGGTGGTTTTAAGAAGATGGAGTGCAAGAGCATGGTGATCGAGTGCTCGAGAGGCCACAAGTGCTGTAAAAGACAGAAGTGCTCGAGAGGCCAGAGGTGCTGTAGGGGACAGAAGTGCTGCTCTGAGAGCGAGAAGGTCCCTCACAGACTCTCCTGCCGCTCTCACTACCCCCATGTAAGGTTTACTGAGTTTATTTCCGTGCTGCGATAATTGTGAAGTGTGTACCCTTTCAGGGGCTCTAGTTTCCTTTCACATTTTTACAATTTAAAAAATGATTTTACGTTGCTCTGGAGAAATTAAATTTATGCTAAACCCTTGTCACGTTAAATCAATATATATATTTATATAAATTATCAAAAATAGGCAAGTGTCTTTCTAATTGAGTCTCCTCAATCTGCGAATATTCCAGAATACCAACTTTAAATCTGTGCTATTTCGGGGTCACTTTACCTCCACGAAGCCAAGGTGAAGGACTGCTAACGCCACCGGGTGAGGGTACCACAGCTTTACCCGTTGTAGATGATATAACATCACCTTTGATTCTCGATATCCACCTCCTAATACTGGTCATCCTGAGCCAATATAAGACAGGGTTGAGTGTGGCGTTTAGTACAGTACACAGTGTCTTACTGATGGGCAGGTGGTACTCGTGCAGGAAGGGAGGTGAGAATATTGGGCCAGGCAACTCCCAACCCAAGATATTATGAACAATAACGATGATCCGCATGGCAAAGTAAAGCGAGTTACACATCAGGAAGAGAGCTGTGAAGTATGCGATTGTTGTCGTTGCTCGCTTGTGTGATTTTTTAGAATATTCGTCTGATTCGGAGTCAGTTCTGAGTTTAACAAGGCACACTATGAAGCTGACAAATGTGAAGATAGGTGGTAGGCCTATCTGAAGCGCTGTTATGGTGGGGGATATGACCTGGGCCCAGACTCCTGGTCCATGTGTAGCAGCACAGAACGGGCCGATGGACAAATACTTGTATTCGTTCCAGAGCCATTGTAGAGATTCGTGCAGGAGCTCTACGCAGACGTACACAATGAAAGAAATGAAGATAGCACGCTTATTGAGCTTGAAAAAGGGAACTGCTAGAGCGATCGTTCTGGAAACGCTGAGAAGCAAAACCAAAAACATGGATAATTTCTGGAGGAACAAGAAGAGAACGGTCCAGCTGACACAGACCCAAAAGTAACTAAACCACTTGGGATCTCGACCGTACAACATAGAGATAGTAGACGGGATATGAGCCAGAGTGGTGAGGATATCAACACTGCAAATCCGAACATATAACCCACTTGCTAGGTCAGTTTTAGATCTGGTCGTTGAGAAGTATTTGAGAGCCAGGATGTTTCCAGGAAGTCCTATGGCCGTGCAGGTGAAGAGGAGTGTAGCTAGGATGTTGTCGTAAGTTTGACGAGAGGAGCCCAGTTTGTTGGGAATGTCAAGAATGTGGCTGTCAGAGTCGTTCATATTCCTTGAAATAGTAAACTTGCTCAGTATATCGCCCGGTTATTATGATATAATTTAGATACAAGATAAGATATCTTCAGTCTTCACATTCAATTTAGTTAAAAAGTTGGATAAGTATTTAATACATAACATGGGACCTGGTAATATACTAGACGATATTTTATCAAGAAACACAGAGCAAAGAGACTAGCGTCTAACAACAAGGAAATGGACGAAAAGTATTAAAACCTCAGCTATAATATGTGCATAAGTATTAAATATTATGATTACACCGTATTGTAAGTATTATGGGATATTACCCGCGATTTTTATGTAGATATCGTGCAGGGGGGTGATTAAAGACTGGAACTGCCTAGCTGTATATTAGACACAGATTTTAACGTTAAATCGACATTTTTATTTATCGCGTGGAAAGAGACAGCAGCTGTTTATAAAAGTTATTTGCTGTAAATCATCATCTTTTTTCTGAATGATTCTGATACCACAGCTGGTGGCGGGTAGTATATGTTTTAAATAAATGTTACACAACTTGGCTTAGTAACAATACAAGTCTGAGCGAGAAACACATACAAAACAAGTCCCAAAGTTGAGATCTCTCACTCCCATAAGTTACAATAACACCCCTCACTCCTCTGTGGTAAAAGATGATGTATTAACCGGAAATTAAGTTTTAATGGCAATTGTTACATACAATGCTTTGTGCAAGCTATTTACAACTATGAATGATAGTGAGACAGCATCTTAAAAGAAGTTATGAAATTATCTTCACTGTAAAAGGGAGATGTACTTCAACTTGAGAAGTAATTGTCAATTATTTCTGTTATGCTCAAATGTGTTTTTGTTGGACTATGGATTAAAATAACCCCAGCTATAACACTAATGTCCATGAGCTGGAATTTGGAAATGAATATAACATCAACACACGTGACGTAGACCTAACTCCTAACTCTCACAAATAACAGAAGTAACTCAAACGAGTGCTTCTCAAAAGTTCACTACCACAATTTCCAAACCTCCCACTTGAGTTTATCTTCCTGGTGTCATTGTATTAGATAACACTGGTTATATTGGGTTTAGTGTGGTGCAGTGTTACAATTGTTCTCTCGGCTATTGCCTATTACTGGGAATTGTTCCACAACTTTTACACACTGTTTTAGATCTAACTTTTAAATCTCAACCTGAAACATGGTGGGAGAGCGGTGCAGTGGTGTGTTGAGGGGGTAATTTCCAGTAATAACCAGGAGAACGATTAAAAGTGCACCATTATCAACCAGCTTACCATCCGGAAGGCCATTGTCCACACCAAGGTGTTACTTGAAAAGAAAGCTGCAAAATTAAATAGCTCTTATATTTTTTATATATTATTATATTTTCATATTTTTATATTTTTTATATATTATTATATTTTTTATATTTTTTATATTTTTTATATTTTTTATATATTATTATATTTTCAGCACTCTGGTCACTCTTTTAAACCACTTGATGAGGAGTATGAGGTGCACAAGAAGAAGATAACTGACGAAATCAGTGCTCTACGGAAACGACTAATGGAGCTAGATGGTATGTTGCATATTTACAACTCAATTTCACTGTGAATACTGAATATTATACACTAGAAGTGTAGCAATGATCGTAATATGTCTCAAGAATTTAAGCTATGGTTATACAATATACATGTTACTAAGTAGGGTCAGCAATGGTGAATAGGATTTTACCTCACTTATATCACAATTGCTGCTGGCCCGTTTACGCATTAAAAATCTAAATATATTATTCGTTCTTGAAACTGTGTTTGAATTTCTATTGCCAAATTGCTTCTAGTCGTGGACAATAGAAATCAGTGCTACTTGCTGATTGGGAACCACCTTTGTTTACTGGTTACTCAAAAGAAATAATTACAATGTCATACATACAAAAATATACAATAATTACAAACCTGATATAATACTCTAGGTTAGATATAAGATCTACTTTTACTTTTTTACAAAAAGGTGGGTGGAAAAATGAATCATCGCAACTTATTTACCAATAATAATAGGGATTAGGGTAGGATAAATAATTAATCATGTATCGTAACACTTATTATCATCATTTAGAGCACATTAAAAATCATAATATCAATTCATAACTCTAGACCATATAAATGTTTGAGTGACTGCGTCCGAGTTGCTGAGTTTATGAAAAATGAACTGTACATCCCTCTTTTGGTATCTAATCAACTTCTGTTATTGAGAGAACCACCAGAATCTGGAGAGCACTGAGCACTAAGGCAGTGATAATAACAGGGAGCAGCGGTGCAAAGGCCGCCATGGCCGCTCCACATGCACCACCCATTAAGCCCACAGCAATTGCAACACTGAAGCCCACTGCCCAGGGCAAACCTCTCCGCTCCGAAGTCAACAATGTCATAGAAAATGTAGCTAGAAGCCATATATAAGACACCTCCATCCGACTACATCTAACAGCAGGTATCCCAGAATCGCCGGCCATACTGCTCCGACACTGGCACGATATCATCAACATATCGTCAAGAATCTTCTTGGTAGAAATCACCTCTTCTTCTTCAGAAATCAGCTTCTTCAGAAATCAGCTCAGCAGTCTTGACGCTATGGACTCAGAGGCACATATTAGGTGCGGTAAAAAAATTCGAAATTATGCGGTACCACACCCGACTATAAAGGTTAAATGTGCGGTAAGGTGCGGTAAATTTTTACCAATTATGCGGCAAATGTGCGGCGATTTTTTCGAAATTTGTACGGGAATTGTGCGGTTTTCCTTTGCATTTTCTCAAGGACTATGGAAATTCTAAACGTATAACCGCCGCTCTTATCAAAAATAGGTCTGTTTATGTGTTACTGAAGGTGTAGTTCTTTACTAAGACCATGATTGAACCTAATATTGAGATTCAGTTATCTGAGAACAGTGACTTGATCTGGTAGAGATCAGGAGACAGTTATTTGAAGTCGCCTCTTGATAGAGTCGATCAGATCCCGTGCAGGTATCTTCTGTTTCTTGTGTGGTGAGCTTGATGATGGGTCACTGGAGAGGCCGACGACCAGGCCCCCTTATTATTAGGGGTCCCACGTAGATCAGATCATATCACCAATTAGTGACGTATAATTAGTGATGTGATCCATCAGTAGAATTTAACTGACCTAGAAATGGGCTAGATACAGGGTAGAGTTCACAGGATTTACACAGGATTTTTTTTTTTACACAGGATTAAAATTAAATTATAGATCCATTATCATGGACCGTCATAATTGTACAGAGATTAAGGGGGCAGGGGGGGGTCTTTATGAAATTTCTCTCGAAATTGATTTTATAGTTGTTTCTGATAGAGGGGAGTGATATCTAGCAGATATTTTTGGTCCCATGGTAAAATTTTGTTCCTAGCCGAAATTATTGCCGGTCAAAGGTCAGCGCTCATGTGTAATTGTATTGCGCGAGCGATTTTCAATCGCGCGCCCTGAAAATCGAGTCTAAAAATCTATCTTCTCCTACATTTTTTAAACAATCACCTTGAAACTTTCAGGATATGTTCTAAGGACCATTTAGAAACTTTTGCTCGTTTTAGAATTTCGAGATAGGCCTTTAAAAATTTTTTATTCGATTTTGAAAATCTTGGACCTGAAAAAATCGTCAAAAAACGAGGTTCAAGATTTTCAAAATCGAATAAAAACTTTTTAAAGGCCTATCTTGAAATTCTAAAACAAGCAAAAGTTTCTAAATGGTCCTTAGAACATATCCTAAATGTTTCAAGTTGATTGCTCAAAAAATGTAGGAGGAGATAGATTTTTAGACTCGATTTTCAGGGCGCACGATTGAAAATCGCTCGCGCAATACAATTACACATGAGCGCTGACCTTTGACCGGCAATAATTTCGGCTAGGAACAAAATTTTTCCATGGGACCAAAAGTAGCAGATAGATATCACTCCCCTCTATTAGAAACAACTATAAAATCAATTTCGAGAGAAATTTCATAAAGACCCCCCCCCTGCCCCCTTAATGAAAACATTCATCTTTCCTTGAAGTCAGGGCCAGGGTTATCCTTAAATCTTAATTATGACTTAATCGCGAGGTTCTCACCAAATTGATAGTAAAATTGTTTAAGTTTCGTGCATTTGAATTACGTTGACGCATATCTTCGGTGAAGCTATTTCGCTCTTCGGAGCAGCGAAGGAAATAAGTGCACACACAATTGACAGCATAGGAGCGCCTTTCTTGAAATTGAATATACTGTGGGGTGTTTGGTTGAATATTAAGTGAACTGTGGCAGTGAATATGGAGGCTCTGGTGATTTTGAGGAATTACAGTTGAGTTAGGAGACAAAATGTCCATAAGAAGTAAACATGATCTTTAAGATCTGACCGCTTGACTCGTATATCACATAAGTGGTCGCATTACAAGGGGGAAGCTTCGATTCCAAAATCGTATATCGAGAGGTAGGTACTACTAAAAGGTACGGGCTTCAGTAAAGTAAATCGTTGACACACCCTTTTGATCGCAACGTGTAGCAAGTAAACCGGAAAAAATATGTTAGGCTCATAATGATCATAATGATCATTATGCAAACATTCACATGACGATGACTCACCCACTTAAGGAATTGTGCGAGAAGATGAACAATCAACAAAGGCAAAGATGAGGAAATAAAATAATGTGTAATGCGTGTTAGGCATAAGGTAAGTTAGGCATAAGGTTAGTTAGGAGTTAATTTGTTAAGTGAAATTGAATCATGAGATTTGGAACAATGAGAACATTGATCAATTGTTAAGACAATATATACAGACACCATCTCATGAGGGTAAAGGAAATATTTCTATGAACGTAGTGATCAGGAGTGTCAGCTTTATACTCGGACGACGAGCCCTCGGTCCCCACAAAAGATAATCTTTATAATTATAGTTAAGACTAGTAGTACAATCTGTGTAAAAGAACTAATGGTCAGTCTATAAAACACATGAAAAGCAGTGTGCTCCATACCCCTTAGTCTCTAGCTTTGTTATCAAAACACGTGATTCGATCATGTGATGTTATCTCATTGTAAACAGGGTTTATTTGTTTTATTACGTGTAGTATGGTAAAGTATTAACACAATTTAACTAATAATATTATGTGAACAGAGTTGACATGTGAACTCTACTCTGTATCTAGCCCATTTCTAGGTCAATTAAATTCTACTGATGGATCACATCACTAATCATACGTCACTAATTGGTGTCATGATCTGATCTCCGTGGGACCCCGAATAATGAGGGGGCCTGGCCGTCGTGCAGCCGGTCACTGTGTGTTACAGCTGTTCGTTTCTTTAGGAAACGGTCCATGACGTTGTGATGTGATATAGATTAAGCAGATGATGTGGTGAAGTTACGAATGATAACTGATACACTATAATCGAAGTACGGTAACGACGAGGGTTCCATAACGGCCTGGGTCACGGTCCCGAAAGGGCCTGGGTCACGGTCCCGAAAGGGCCTGGGTAACGGTCCCGAAAGGGCCTGGGTCACGGTCCCGAAAAGGCCTGGGTCACGTGGTAACCGGGTCACGTGGCCTAGGCATGAGTTCCAAAAGGGCCTGGGTCACGGTCCCGAAAGGGCCTGGGTCAGGGTCCCGAAAGGGCCTGGGTCAGGGTCCTGAAAGGGCCTGAGTCACGGTCCTAAAAGAGCCCGACTTTTAAAATATTTTGGTTTTTACACTTGCAAATCTTAACGCGAAAATTTCAAAATTATGCGAAATTACGCGAAAAATGCTAGATTATGCGGAAATATGCAGAAAATTACAAAATGTTCGGAAATGTGCGGAAAACAATAAATTATGCGGAAATGTGCGGAAAACGGTAAATTGTGCGATCCCGCACCCATCGCACCTAATATGTGCCTCTGTATGGACTGAAAAATTGAGTCCAACAGAAAACGGGAAAACCCTATGAGGGCTCTAGAAATGAGAAGCGTGGTTTATATAGTTAGCTATTATAGCACAGGCAACTGTGCTGATAACACTCATATAGAGGGAGAATGTGGTCAAAATTCGACACGACCCAAACCTGCAAAAGATTAAATTGTAGTCTAAATAGTAAATGGAAACGGAAGCACTGAGGCGGATTTTAACTTTCTAAAAGAATTGATATGTCGACTTACAATCTTTCTTCGGTTTATAATATGTAAAAATTTGGTATACTACCTGAGCAATTAATATCTTACGATAGCGAACCTGTGAGCCAATATTCCTGAGATTTCAAATGAAGCTGCTAAGGTGAGATACTGTATGCAATCCAGTATTCCTTCTTCCATGGAGAAAGTTCAATTTCGCACGATACTTGTTGAGAGGCGAGGAGTCTTACTAATCCAGCAAGCTTGGAGGGGGATTTGTTTAAAACATATAAGTTCTTTCATTCAAATTTCTGATTGTTTCTGAATAGACTCAGTGAAGACAGATTCTAATGGAAATAAATAGCTGGATAACGTATCGACATTTCTACGTCATACTCATATTCTGAAATAGTATTAATTCAATTATAACGATCAATATTTACATAAAAAATGTGACGACAAATTTTATCCACTGTAAAATAGTTTTTAACGAAATCGGAGCAAACATATAAAAATATAAGTGATACGAAAAGTTGTTTTAGCAGGAGCTTTCAAAATACATGTGTAAATCGTCTTCAGCCAGTCTAATCCTGCAAGAATCTGGAAATTCTTGTATTGAACGAACCAGGCAAATATATTTCAACTCCATCTCCAAGGTTGGTGACACCAAATACTAACAGAAGCTTGCCTATCCATTCTTGTCAACGAATTTTCTCGCTCGTTTAAAGGGTCAGTTTCATATCCCTTGTCAGGTTCGAGCATGAGGTCAACAAAAGCCACCTGGTTTGAAATACAAAGTAAAATATCTGATACAGAACCTGACAAAAAATCAACAGAAAAGGTTTCAAGTAAAGTTAGACGCGCACCAAATAGCTCCAGAATATTTGAAAATTGTTAATTTGCAGTCTGTCTGTCTCCTTCTAATTCTCAGAGCTCTGCTCTTCGAAGAAGAAAACAACAATATCCAAAACCTTCCTGCCTGTTAGTTCCCATCGTATCATCCTTAGGTTCCCACCAACAGTCACGTGACATCACACGTGACCACTTATCAGAATATCAGTATCTTGTTCACAAGTACTGAGCTCACTTTTCCTCCAATTATCGTCATTTTTACCAGTTACGCGTTTTATAATCAATCTCCCAATTGTACATGTAACAATTTCTTAAAATCATACCACTTAACTGCATTATTGTACTTATAGTATGGGAACTTTAACATTCAATTGAGCAAAATTGATGGTATCAGATTTTCTGCAAAAACTCGGTCTACAGACTCCCTAGTAACACCACAAAAGTCTCCTATTTTCCCGTGGGAAAAGTCTGTGGAGTGACTTAAACCCATGAAGCCCATGCGATTTTTTCACATTAAATTCATATTGGTTTCATCTTACAAACTATTCCAAAACTCGCAGGAATAAAACGAGACATTGAAAAGAATGTTGAGACGGTAAAATTCGCCAAGGAAAACAGAGAGGACGACATGAGGACAGTGTACGATGGAATGGTAAAGAAGCTGGAGTCTCAATTAAAGAACAAACTCAACACACTCAAGGGCCAAAAAAACAGCATTTGTAATGAAACAGAGTTTCTAGAGAAGATTCTCTTTACTGTTGAGCGGGAGGTTAGTTAGTTAGTTAGTTAGTTAGTTAGTTAGTTAGTTAGTTAGTTAGTTAGTTAGTTAGTTAGTTAGTTAGTTAGTTAGTTAGTTAGTTAGTTAGTTAGTTAGTTAGTTAGTTAGTTGAGTTTATTTTTTAGCTAACACATGAAATGGAATACTATCATTGATTAACTCATGACACTTAAAACAACACAAGTCAACTTTTATAGCATCATGCCTCAATTTTTGCAATTTTTTCCTTTCAGTTAAAACAAAAGTCCAAATCGGAGCTGATCAACAGTGTTGGTCACCTCATGGACATGTTCTCCAAAGTCCACGAAACACCCATGACTAACTTCACTAGTGCCCCTGTTCCTGCTGACTTTGTATCGGAGATAGTCCCTCAATATCAGTCCGCTTCTTTCGTTCTCAGAAATTTCAGGTACCCAGTGCAGCTCCTTTATCAAATTTTCTCATTTACTAATTTGACTTAGTCAAGGTATATTATATCATTATCGTCATGTTTTGAATCGAATCGTGCAATGTTTACTCTAAATAGTGTATACTGTATACTCTAACTAATGTATACTCTAACTAATGTATACTCTAACTAATGTATACTCTAACTAATGTATACTCTAACTAATGTATACTCTAACTAATGTATACTCTAACTAATGTATACTCTAACTAATGTATACTCTAACTAATGTATACTCTAACTAATGTATACTCTAACTAATGTATACTCTAACTAATGTATACTCTAACTAATGTATACTCTAACTAATGTATACTCTAACTAATGTATACTCTAACTAATGTATACTCTAACTAATGTATACTCTAACTAATGTATACTCTAACTAATGTATACTCTAACTAATGTATACTCTAACTAATGTATACTCTAACTAATGTATACTCTAACTAATGTATACTCTAACTAAACCTGATGAACTCAATAATACCACACCTCTGTCCCCTCTCAGTATGCTGAAACGTAAGGCAGATCCAGTGTACAGCTCTCATCTCAACTGTAACGGTATAAAGTGGCGACTCAAGGTCTATCCTGACGGTAACGGAGTAGCTCGCAGTAACTACCTTTCTGTTTTCCTCGAGTTGGTCGAGGGAGTCTCTGAGACTAGCAAGTACGTTTGTTTCCTTACTTTGGGTTTATCTGTTTTTTTCTCGTTAACTATCGTCTTTAAAAGTTTTTTTATTTCTCCTTTATTAAAGCTTTATGAGTGCAGATACGTTAATTATTCGTTTGTTTTGTCTTTAGAAAGGTAAGTATGTGACTGGCTCAGAAATGTTTAAGTTTGATAGCTTGTGTATTGGTGAGAGTTATTAATTCAGCGCCGGAAATCCCTCTTCCGAGTATTGAATCCCTATTTTGCCAAATGTCACATACAACTCCTCCTGTTAGTGTTATGTGTCTCCCCTTTTCCTGTTATAATGACTTATTTATTGGGTTTCATTCGAGAGCTTTAAACATTTACAGCATTAACTTGAGACTTCATTTCCTTGATAAATAACAATATCTTTCTGAACATGGTTTTAAGACGAATTTGAAGTATGCACCCTGATTGTATTTTAAGAAGGAAACTATTACTAACTGTTAACCTAGAATTGTCTCTCAAAGTCTCAAAAAGTAAAAAATCCTCTACCCAAACGCTCTGAAATGTTTTAACGTTTCGTGTTATCCAGGTACGAGTACAAGGTAGAAATGCTCCAGCACAACTGTAATGGAACTAGAAGTATAGCTAATGTCGTCCGAGAATTCGCCTCCGACTTTGAGGTTCGTTGTTAAGCCACGTCTTACATCAGTTAACAATCAGGACAGAAGAAATTTCATTCCCTTACTTTAAATTATGATGAAATAAAATTAAAATACAAAATATAATTGGAAATTGGAAAATTAAGACGGTAGTCGAGTCGCTGTTCAGCTTTATGATAGAATAGGTTCTAACAGTTTTTCTGGCAGGTAGGGGAGTGTTGGGGGTACAACAGGTTCTTCAGACTTGATCAGTTGGAAGAAGGAGGTTACCTGGACACCGAGGAGGACTGTGTTGTCCTCAAGTTCCATGTTAGACCTCCTACCTTCGCTCAAAAGTGTCGTGACCAGACTTGGTTCGTCGACTTTTTATCACTTATTTCTTTTTAATTGTTAATTTTCGTTCATTGTTTGTGCTTTGAGCGATATCTGTTATCCTGTTATTTCATTACATCATGTAACTACAGTGTAGAAACTCAGATGGTCTAATATTTATTCCCAGGTATATTTCAAGCTTAGAAGAGTCCCAATCACAGCATATTGAGCAGCTGAACAATTTGAAAATGTCGCTGAAGGAACGGTCACGTGTTCTGCACGATGCGCGCCCTCACGCGGAGTGTGTGCCTGCACGTGATGTTACCGACCGGACTGATCGCACTGAAAATAGCATCGAGGTGAGTCCCAGCTGACATTCTGATTAATCTTGTAACAAAATTAGTAATTTGTTACTGTGTATAGTATATTAGAGAATGGCGATGGAGGATGAGTCGAAAGCGTGAAAATTGCTTATCGATCATGGCCATGGGTACATAACCTACTCAGTACTCATATCACGTGTCAAGACAAATATGACGGTTATTTCCGACTGATCTGCTGATAACAAACCACAACAAAGTTAGAAACCTAAAGATCTGTGTTAAGTGTCTTCTTATGTCTGATATAACGTTTAGCGGTTTAGATATCACCAACAAGACGTGTTTATTATAACTTTATAACTTTATGATGACGAAATATGGTAATACATGCCAAAATGATAAAGATAGCGGTGTTGTACAGTCTATTAATTTAAGACCACAGCTTTTCTGAGTAGCACAAGTGTTGGGACGTATTGTTCTGCTGTTACATGTGCGTTGTGTTGTTTTGTTCAGATACAATATTATGGTCGTGATGCGTGTCTGCAGATTTTAAAGGTATCTATAACTATTTATAACTATTTATAACCGAAGTATTTAATACCCAGCCACTTTCAAGTTCCAACTTCTTAACATCAGTATGATGACAATTTGGTAACTACTTTAAATCTTTAATATGTTCAAAATATCTCCAAATATGTATTTATATCTACGCGTTGCGTAGTAAGATGTTATGTGGAAGTCTGTGTTAGTGTGTTTCTCTAATGGATATAATTGTAATGTGAGTGACAGTTATCCGTCATTTCGTTCATTTATTTGCCTCAGTTATCATTCACAATTTAAATTTTTACTTCGGTCGGTACCAACAAGATGTTTCTCATTCATTCTGTCAAAGTGTTGATGACGTGAGAGAGGTTTTGCTTGGAACTGTTAAGGCCAGAGGGGGGGGGGGGTAAAAGTCGATTTTCCAGTTTTCACATATTTGATCAGAGCTGCTGGAGGTGGAGACGAACAAGAAGAAAAAAACGTTCAAACGTTTTTAAGATATCGCGCGCCAAATATTGAGGTTTACATGTAATTACATGTAAACACTTTCTCGAGATAAAATGAAGTAAATCAGCACTACATCTATTTAGAAATTTGTATGTCCTAATCTTACGATAAAAATAACAACTCTATCATCTGATCTATTTTCGCTATACCTAAATTAGGAGGTTAACCTCATTCAATCACGTTTGGATATTACTTTTTCAGATAATTACGAACCTAAAATTTAGAGTTTACATTTGCTGACCGAAATAACAAAAAATTATGGAGTGTAATAAAATATTAACCTCAATTCTATTAACCTCAATGTTGTATAGTCAATTTTGTGAAAATCGGTTAACCTCAATTATTAAAAAAGTTAAGCAGCTACAAATATGTGAATAGCAGCAATGTTTTTGTCATCAAAAATTAAATTGATTTAGAAAATAATGTTTTGGTCGATTTTTTTGACCCCTTACCCCCCCCCCCCCCCCTCAGGCCTTAACTATTGGCTGTTAGAATTAAAACTGCAACAAGTATCATCACTCGAATAGTTTCTGCAGTATAGTGGACCTATTTTGTGATTTACAAGTTTGCAAGCATATTATATTATGTGGGGTTTCCTCTTTATTTATTTCTAAAAATTCGTGTTTTTTCGCCATTCTCGACAGAAATGGTAAAAAATTTGCTGTCAAGATGAATGATTAATCATTTTTGAAATAACGAAAAGTTTTATCAATATTCACTTCTAAATTTGTTGCAAAATATTATTATCAAATATTAACAAATTAAAATTGAAATTTCATGTATCGGGACTTGAAACAGTGATCTCCGCACATACCCCTAACTTTCAACTAATTTCAGGCGAACGATATGAACTCTACACGGAACGTAGATCCAGACGACTTGTTCGACCTCACGGACCTACCACCTCCCTTCGAGAACAGTGAGGAGGAAGAGGAGGAGGAGGAGGAGGGTGACGAGAACGACTCTACTCTTCAGAAAATAAGATACTCCATTCAGCTGGTGGTGAGTAAAAGTGGTAAATTCTTCTTGGTCTGTGAGTGTTGAAGACGGGGACGTTAAATTCTAGAATTTAGAAAGCTTCTGATTTACGAACTCAATTTTAGTTAGTTAGTTGCATGAATTGCCGACTTCACCACTTAGTAGACCATTTTAAAAATATCTTGATAATTTAGACCACTTATTTGAATTACTAGGCCATATATTCCTACCAGACGCGTCTAGACGTCTTGAAATTTTTGAGAGGCCTCGCATTTCCGAGCGAGATAAATCACTCTGTATTAGAATCATGTCGATAATCTTCCAGAAGAGCCCCCTAGCAGTTAAAGTTCACGTGGATGGGCATATTTTAGAATACTGACTCCGAATCCCTCGCATAAGCAAACATATGCTTCAAACACAACACGTACATAATATAAGGGAGCAGGTCAGACTGCTCGTAAGGGTTTTCAGACATTTTGGGTTTAGGATGTAACAGAGATCTGGTTTCATGCCGTCTGTATTTAACTGTAAACACCTACAGAACAATTTAGAATAAGTCACATGACAGCGATCGCAGAGTAATTATTCACTTTTAATTAATCATCACTATCTGTACATTTCACCACTGACACGTATCACCATGTCCACAGGGCGACGAACAACGGCCCTTATCAGCCGACAGCTGGGAGAGAAGACTGATGAACCAGATCGGAGTTTCCAGTTTCCCTGGAACCGCGGAGGACACCCTTAATACCTCCCACCCTGCTTCTGAGGTAAAACGGCTGGCGGGGCTCCCTCTAGATGTGCGATTCTATGAATTTTAAATTTCGATCAGAGTTAAGCTTATCTATTAGATATTCGAAATCTAAGTTACATCTTTACAAATCATGATGAGCAAAGGATCAGCTTTTTGAATGTTCTGATGTAATGAATGTAATGAATTCTAAATTGGGACATAATTTGATACCGAGCCCTCTCCTAGGAGTCATTCACCACACTACCCACCATCGAACCTCCTGCCATTGTAATAGAGAATGAAAATCAGGCTGGCCCCTCTACGCCATTGGCAGTTGCATCGGTAATACTAAATAACTTGATCCAACTTAATAAAGCATCCGCTATTTTGGTGTGCAACGTGTGTTCCTTTTTTTTCAGGTGGTAAGATTTCTCGCACATTACCGATCGTTTGTGCTGTAGCCATTAAATGGTGTGTGCTTGCTGAGGATATTTGATATTTGATCAGCGATTTATTGTTTGTAGCAAAGCACTAAGTATTTTACAAATCTTATTTTTGTTAACAGACTCATTAAACGTGTTTAACGTCGATTAATTTAACTTAAAAAGGTTTTAAGTAAATATTTGAATTTGTTTACAGTTGGGATCATCGATACAGAGCGTTACTAGTGTTACTACTGACGAGCTGGAACCCGAGCTAGTTGACCTTATCGAAAGTGAAAGTGAAACTGAACTCCCCACTCTTAGCGCCTTCACCCCTGAACAAGTAGGTTGCACCCGTTTTAAGGTTGATTCCTCGACAGATTGTATAACCATGTGGTGTGTTACCTGAAGAAAAGGCTGTGCTTTCCATACGAGCTTGATAGCCAACTTGACGACTGTAAATCTTCCGGAGCCGAAAGGCAAATTCAGTTGAAGTTTTTAGTGGCGGTAAAATGTTAGGCTCGCCATGGGATACGAAGAAACAGTTCAATATCATCATAATTATTAGTTCTACAGCTGTTCAGCCTGTTTACCTATCGATTCCATAGATATGATTTTCGATTATATCGTAGAAGTTAAACGATGCCCTCAAATTGGCACTTACTGAAGACCCTATTACACTGCTTACTGAGGAGTATGCTAAGCTGTTGCTTAAGTTTGGCAATAATAATCAGTTGGGTCATGACACCTAGAGAAATTTCGCGTCATCTAATTGTCCTTATCTAAGCAATATTATATTAATCAATTTAATAATACTTATTTGATAAGTATTATCAAGTATTATCAAGGCTGACGTTACTTACTTTGGTTACTTTGGTGTGCTTCATAGAATCCTCTATCGGGTCATCAGAGTTGCTGACCACCCGGACAGCGAGATCGCTGCCTTTATTCGTAGTAAACGCTTCCTTATTTAATGTTATTACTTATGTTATTTAATGTTATTTACTTCTCTCACGATAAAAATATGGCGGGATGCCCGAAAAACCGTCACATTTTAACGGTCATGATTTTTGCGACTGACTGTTCCTTGGAAATCACCGATTACCACAAGAAAGTTACTGATTTTTTCGATTATTTTTCTTTTGGCACCATTCTTGGTTCAATTTCATTAATTTCTCTAATTCTAGTCCATCAAATAAATTGGGAGCTGCTAAATACAACAATAATGTTACTAGAAGGCCATCATAACTCCGACAGTTATTTAAAATATTATTTTGACCCCACCACTGCTGTTGGTTAATAAGGTCATTATTATAGTTAATAGTTATCTTATAGATTTTATCAACAAGAGTTATTCAAAATATTTACAGATAGTCGCGACAGCTCAGTTTATTGTTGAACCTTTTATCTATTTCCCTTTATCTTTAATGTTAATACAATTATCATATCAAATATAACCGCTAGATTCGCGTCTCTTAGCGATACAGACATTGGACTTTAATATTTGATATTATGTTCGTCGTGGGTAGTGATCACTGATTGTTCTGCAATCTGCAAGATATAGTCCTTTTACGTCGTGGACAACATCTCGTAACATCCATGAATCATCTAGAGAGAGAAGTAAAGCCATGAGAAGTTGAGCTGCTGTTCCTGTTTAATGGCCGCACTCACCTGTCAACTGACACGTGACCTGGCACGTGACCTGGCAACTGACACGTGACCTGGCACGTGAAGGTTGCTGCAATTTCAGTCCATTCTTGGTAGCTTTGATCACACGATGGTGATCAAAGCTACCAACCATGACATAGGTGTGTCAGCCGTGTCTGTCAGCTTGGGATTTAAACTCTTTGTAATGGTGTGTCCCCCGCTAAGTCATCAATATAGGTGGTATCTATGATTTTATAAACCGGCATTTATAAACGTTATCGTGGTCACCAGCTCAGTCCTCAAGATTTTGTTAACCGTTTATAATGGTGGTTCCCTCGCTCAGTCGTGTGAGATGGTCAAATTTGTCATACCTTTTTGGAATGATCAGTGAGTTTCGCCTAGGTGCCATATTTGATGGTGCGCGGCTTTGGGAGCAAAATTAGGTGTTAAAGTCGCGTAATTTGACGAAATTCGTTGATTTTTGTCGTATTATTCTGTAATATCTTCGGTTCCTGATCATGAATCATGGTGAAAATTTGTCAGAACCTTCCAATCATACTTAACTACCGAACCTAAATTAGTTGGGAGAGATTAGCCTTGATAAAGAGGTCTAAATATGACAAAATAGGTATAAATTCGTTGATAACTCAAATTCTGACCATCGAAATTGCTCAAACTAATTTAGGTTTAGTAGAACATAAGTGTTTACGTAAGCTGACCAAATTTCAACAAAATTGTTATATGGGAAGTATTATAACTTTTTGATTGTTTCCGAAATAATGTGCTGGCCGAAATACAGGCTAAAAAGTCATAAGCTAAGTTAAGTGAAGCCATTTGTGGATCTCCTTTCTCAATTAGACAGACCTTAATATAAGGTGACTAGCACCTGTTAGTTATAGTTCCTTTCTGTGTTAATTTGTTAATTTGTTAATTTGTTAATATGTTAATCAGTGATGGCACTGAATGTCATACTCAAGATGGATGCTTTCCTGGTCTTCTCAGTTCTTGTCCAAATTTTCGCTAAACTTACTTGATTGACTTTAAAACTTTTTACATTATATCGTAAAGCATCGGTGATTTGAAACTTCAGAAACTTCTAAAACTTCTAAACGCTTCATCATCGTAGAACCTGATAATTTAATTTGTTTAATTTAATTAGCGACCTGGGCAATTACTTCTCGACTTGTTATCAAACCAATTTTATAATTATTTTAGTTAATATAATAAGCTCACGTGTTAATAAATTTATTAATATTTACTTTACGGGGATTGCAGTGATTATTTCTTGATATCTCCTGTCTACTTATTACGTCTCAAAGATTTTGTTGATATGAAAGATTGGTTAGTCACCATATTTTTATCAAAAATTGAAATCAAATATTTTTGATCAAAAACTTTCTGGTATTTATTTTGTTCTAAACATTTCATACAAATTACAAATTCTTTGGAATTTCGAAGTTAAAATTCCTTTAATAGAATAATCGATTATAAATTTAAAGTTAAAGCATCAAATTTAATGATTTGGAAGTTTCCATTAACTCCGGCTTAGCAACACGATTTCCTGGTTTAATTAAAAGTAACATTTTACTTGTCCAAATTATTGAATATATCCATTCAGCCATTCGTGTTGCGCAATTTATGATTGAATAAATCTTTACTTTTATAGATAAAATATTTTGTTGACACTTTATACCTCGAATTAACTATTTCATGGCAACATTTAATTCGGTTCTGTCGACCTGTCTCGCTAAGGGAATGTTGCTATAAAATGTTTGCGCATTTCATTGCGGTCTGTTTGGACTATAGAGAGAGTTCATACTTCCATACGACAATATAATGCGTGTTTTCGAATATCATAGGCGGGTCTATACTTTTGCATTTCAACTGCGATAGTGAAGGCCCGGCCGTATAGATATACAATTCTCTGAGCCCCCAACCCACGATTTTACTCTATATTAGAAATAAATACCGTGCGAGTCTGCAAACCCCAAAAGACCTTGTAAATCGAGAAATATTCTTCAGTACAATTAGTCGCATTAACAGATAGACCAGTGGAGCTAAATATCCCCTGAAACGTTCTCTGAATCGTCACAGCTTCAAAGCTGGAATATTATTTAAACACTTAGTAAACGTCTCATGTTCTGGTCGGGATGACTTCATGGCTACCAGCTATCTACTTAACTTCTTACTAAAACGAATGACGAAACGTGATGATTGCTAAGGGAGTTTTCTACTTAGCAGTTGGCTTACTAAATACTTCTGATTGGTATTTACTATAGTTCGTGCTATTACCGTACAAAACTCTAAACATATATATTTTAAAACTAATGTCAACTACTGTTTGACATTAGTTTCTACTTGACCCTACGTGAATACTTCAAGTACTGACTCAGTACTTGGGTCTTGGTGCATGCGTCCTCGTGATAAGGAGCTGACTTCTAACCTCTGCCGCGCTCATAATCATTAACCAAGTATTTCCCCGCCTGTTCAATTATTCATATTGCGACAAGATTGTCGATTATCGACAATGAAGTCATAAACTTAAAAGTCAGTGGTGTCATAGCAGCCTTGTTATCGACTACATCATCTGCTAACCATCTACATCGTGATACTTTAAATAATCCGTAGACATGATGCCGCGGAAGTTCCGCCCAGCAGCATTCTCCATCGGACATATCGTAATATGTAGTAAGTACCTCGACATATTTGTCTGTCTGCTGAGTAGTGTGTTCCCTTTATTACCATTATTTAAATATCACGTGTTCTAATTGTAAAGGGGCTCGCATAATCCATTGACACTCATACCTTTCATAACAAGCGCGGTGGAGGGTGGTATGTCAGTTGTTTGTATTGATAGAGAGTATCTTAAATAATAAATATCTATTTTGTTTATCATGTTGTTTAGATGTTTTAATTTTGTATTTGCCTTATAACGAGTTATACTTTTGTTCACTTTTACACATTTGCTCACATCACTCACATAATTATATGAGCGGGAATCCCACGGATAGAAATACCTCATTTCATTAACTAGCTTAGACGCGATTCAAGTTCACCATCAGCCGCTCTGACATGGTTATTAACCATTTAATTGGTTAACCACCTTCCTTGTGTTGTTGGTTAATCATATGAGCGGGATATAAATACCTCATTTCATTCTGTAACTGTGTCATTGTTCGTTGCAGATGGTTCCCATCAAGATTTTAATATTATTTTATCTTTTTTTTAATGTTTGGATACTTTAGCTAGGGTATAAATGTTGTTGATCACCTAAATCACCTGAATCATTGTAAGGCATTGGTTGTATAAAATAAGTTGCTCTGATCACAAAACATTCCTCTGCACAACAACCGGTCGCTTTTTTGTATTGAAATTCTTTAGAGAACGAAGAAACTGTAGAATATGTGTCTATCATCGCCCGACATGTGATAACGATGCTTCGAAACTCAACTTTGTTATCTGTCTGCACGTCTTATGACATTTAAATCTTCCGTTTATTTCACATCATGATGGCCTAAATAGTAAATGAGTGGAACATTTTTCACAGTTAAAACACGTGATTGTTGTTAACTATTATATTTGTTCTCCACTTTAAGAGCTTATTCGTAAATATAATAAATGATTTTATTAGTATTTGATGCGTATTTGATTTAATCTTATAAGTACATAATTTGAATAATTAATTTTAATTGGCAA